CCCCCCAATGCCCCTTCATCCCCCCCCTCCCCTTCCAGACTTACTATCTGGACACTTTGAAATGTGTCAGTTTATAAAGGTCGCAAGTGCTGTTCATCATACATCAAAGTTGTAAGCTGAGGATTGCCTGTAATTGGTCAGAACCAAGAAACATTTGCCTTGCCATGGCCAAAGGGGTGTAGTATAGTAGGGCAGTTAAATTGGAGTAAGTGGTTTTGAAAAACCTGGGCAAGATTGGCTTAGTTGGCCTAGTCATTCATATCTCAAGAATTAGAAAGAGAGTTCAAGGAAAGGGATATCAGTTGTAGTCCACATTCTTGCATCTTGCTTTGCACTTGTCATCCACTTGGAGTCTCTCGTTGGTGAATTGGAGGAAGGTGTATTTTTGGTACGTCTATACGGTGCCAAACAGCACTGTGTTGAGGTGCCCCATGTCTGCTCTTTGTGCTAACTCTCCACGTGGAGGTAATGTAGCCACATCAGTGAAGCACTGTTTACATGCAAATAAGCTTTGTATTGCTTCCAGCTGGGGAGTTGATATGTGCAGAGTAAGCATTGTGCATCTTGGTACAGTGTTACTTTGTGGTAAGTGATGGCTAGAGAATGGTACTTAAAGGTTTGCTTTTAAAAATTGGCTTGTAGGTAAAGTAAATGTTGTATTAAAATAATGGTCCAGGGCAACGGCAAGGGTTAATTAATTTCTAAAAAGCCTGTTTTGTAAAAGTTTCCGAAGGGCTACTGTGTCTAACAGGCAAGCAGCAAACAGACACGCAGGCTGAAAAATAAACATGTACCACACTGTGTTCCCTAACATAAAATAAGGTGGCACCAGGTCACAGTGCCCAGCTGCAGAGCTCTTGGGATTTCTGGTTTTGGGGAATGGACCAAATTAGAAAAAAATCTGGAAAAAAAAAAATTAGGATGTGTGCATGTGAAGGATGGGTTTGTAAAACAAAAATATGCTGACAAAACAAAACATGAACGGTATAACAACCACAAAAAAACAATCGGCAATGTCCAAAAATAAAAAGTAATCACAAAAAAAAATACAAAAGCAAAAATTTCGAAGCAGCAAAGGGTCCTCAAAAGGGAAATCCAAGCCACCAGTTACAAAGGGCACACCACCGATCCGTCTCATCCATCCCAGTCAGAGGAGGGGGGAGAGGCACGGCCTCTGATCTCTAGGCTGCTAACATCTAGCATTAAAAAAAGAACCTCGGTAAAGTTTGCATGCTGGCCAAACGTACCTTCCCTCTGATAACAGCTCAACAACTGGTAAATATAAAATCGTTTGCATTATTCTTATATGCTGTGTATCAATAAAATTATCTTATCGCTGTATATCAATAAAATTTGCCTATTATCAAATAAAAAGGTCATGGTCAGTCTAAGGGTTTTGGGTCTGCCCAAAACAAGGTATCTGGGTCATAAATCCAGCGCCAGCACTATGTACCCCTTGTTTTGAGAACTGTATGTCAAGAATGAAGCTACAAATATTGGCTTCATTCAGTGTTTAAAATGAATACCAAACCTCAAACTTGATTTTGTGAAGCCTGTTTCTTAGCTTCAACTAGATCCATTGTGATGATGGAAATGACTGGGTGCATACAGTTTGAAACCACTGAAAGTTGATCAAAAGAACTGTCTTTTATGTTTTTAATTAAGCATTCTTTAAATAAGTTTGTGAATACTTCCATTTGGAACTTCTTAGTACCCCTTCTTAATAACCCTGAGCCTAACCTGCATATAAAATGAGCTGTTCCAAACAGGAGATTTTACCACACCTTCAACTCTCCTATGAAATATGAACTTTTATTTATACCCAGAAGAACTTCTACCATTTTTTATCCCATGCCTGAAGGAAGGGTGTTTGTGCCCGAAAGTTTGTAATTAAAGATTTTTTTTTTCAAAAATCTAGTCGGTTTAATAAAAGATACCACTTCTACCATGAGTCCTGATTGCTTAATAACCTTTAGAATTTATGGAGGAATAAAGCTTCAGATGTCCAACTGTTGTTACATTGTTGTTACATTTTGTTACATTTATTTTCTTATTTGTAGGCCTTCTGTTGTATATTAAGCTTCATTTATTGTTTTAACAGGTTGAAGAGATTAGAGAGATGGTTGACAATGACTTGGGGTTTCAACAAGCTCCACTAATGTGCTATTCTAGAACAAAGACACTTCTCTTTATTTCTAATGACAAAAAAGTGATTGGATGCTTAATTGCTGAGCATATACAGTGGGTAAGTATATCCAGAATTTTATCAGTCTTTAGGATTTGGGTATTTAGTGACTAATTATGTTTGCTAGGTATTCCAGATCCAGAGGATCTATTAAAATTCTGTTCTGGACATTTTGCAATTGATTCGTAAATCTGCAGTGTAAGATGTCTGTGCAATTTAAGATCCTACTTGTGAAGCTTAAGCATGTAGTCTATGCCGCCTACAGGAGTGTCCAACAGCAGTCAGCCTCCCACTTCCATTTCCTGGTTCTGTGCAAGGACTCTCATATGGAGACAGAAAATATACACTTAAAGTAATTAAAAAGATTCTACAGAACTAATCTCCATGCTGGTTAGAAGATAAGATACAGTTATGGGCCACTGGTTCACAGTTTTTTTTCCTATTATGATTCCACTTAGATGATTTGGTGTGATTTGTGTCTCTGCAATTAACAGGGGTTGGGACTTACTGTGCCCCAGCTGTACTGTGTTAATTGTCCCTCTGATAGCTTTTATCCCATAGTAAGAAGTAAAAAGAGTTTAGCCACAAATGAAATAGAGTTGTCCCTTGATTTAGATTTCCCTTAATAAGGGAAAACTGTAGGCACAGGAATAGTAGCTGCAGCGTAGCTGTTAATTAACTTGGCAAACTGGGTTGAAGAATATAGTGGTTTGTGAGAAATCTTGCCATCCAGCCCTAGTTGGGAACTGCTGCCATTGATATTTCCGGCAGCTAGATACTCACCTTAAAATGGTACACCCTGACATAAGATACTTACTTATGTAGGAAAATGGATAGATATTCCTGCCCTCTCAAAGTACAGGAGGAGAGTGAACAGGGAATGAGAAGAGAATTTTGAAGAGGAATTAAAATAGAAGTAAATTTCTTAATACATTTGTAATTATACTTTGATTTTCTTCAATATTGTCATTTTTATGCATCCCTTTCCCCCTAACGCATGGCACTTGAAAAGTGGGATGGTGGCTACAAAAGGGACTAAAATTAAATTATTTATGGTCAGATAACTTACTCTCTTGGCTGAAGTAACATAGTATGTTAGCGCGTGGATACGTTTAAGTTAAAATTTTAAAGTACAGTGGATTATCTTGTACTACCATTCATTTGCAGCTAGGAGTAATTAATTTTGCTGTTATACTTTGCCATTTTTTTCAGGGCTATCGAGTTATAGAAGAGAAGATTCCAGAAGCTAGCTCAGAAAATGACAAAGTCACATTTGAAAGGCAAAAAGCCTGGTGCTGCTCAACTTCTCCTGAGCCTGCAATCTGTGGGATTAGTCGAATTTGGGTGTTCAGCATGATGCGCCGGAAGAAAATTGCTTCTCGGATGATAGAATGTCTTAGGTATTATTAAAGTCATTACTTTTAATAATTTGGGTTATAGGTTGAATTCACAGTAACACTTTTGTCCGACTTAATCTTCATGGGTTTTTAGACCTTTCATTTAAATTGGACGTACATCTGAGTACAGCTGGCAGTAGTAGTTTTTAACAACCAGTTTAGTAACTAGGGCCTGCCTTCACCAGAAAAAATTGCTTGAAAATACATTTGTAATATATTTTGTACGTTACGAAATAGCTTGGCTAACACGGACCACATTTGTGCAGTCAGTGTACTTCAGGATAGAACCGGAGTCACAAGTGACTTAAGAAAACAGGGCTCTGGCACTCTGAACACTGGGACTTCAAATGTAGTTTAAGTGTTGTGACCAAATCCATTGGTTATAGCTTCTATATTTTTTTTTCATTCTTTCTAACCTTAAAGTAAGAAGCAAAAATACAGTCTTTATCTCCATCCTGCTTGCATACCTACATGCATATTCCTTTCCTTCTGTAGTGTATCCTAACCCTAGTCTGATAATGATTTCAGGTTCACTGAGCCTTAATTGAAGTTTTTCAGTTTTTGTGGAGTTGTGTGGCTCAGGGCACTTATCCCACGTTGGCTAAACACTAAAGGCGCCTATACATGAGCAGTGAAGCTGTTCCAATGCACTGTAATTACAGCGTGTCAGAGCAGACTTGATTTGAGTCTGCTGGTGCATGTTAATTACCGCTCTCCAGCAGACCCCTGCATCTTGTATTACTGTCCCTGTGGTGAAAAATGGCAGTGGGAGCACTTTAACTAAAGCTCGTTCAACAAGCTCTAGTTAAATCACCCCTGTCACCATTTTTCAGCATGGGGATGCTGATACACAAAATGCTCTGGGTGCTTTCATTAGAGTGGCTCTCAGAGCTGCTCTGATTAAAGCCCACGCCCCCCTTCCCCGGAGCATGTGTATACATACTCTAAAGGGCTAGATCTACAATTTCTCTTGAGTGTCTGCAGTGGCAGTAAGGCATCTAGGTTCAGAACTGAGATCCTCAAACCTCTGCTCAGCTATTGCCTATATTTGGAGGTGCTTAAAGTTCCTAAGATTCCACCAGTGAAGTTACTAGATGCCTGAGTGTCTGCTACTGGACATACCAGAATCACCTGAGTACTGATAGAGCTGAGTAACTAAGCATTTACAGGCAGTCCTCAGACTTATGACACAAGAAGCAGTTTTCAGGAACCAATTAAGTCGAAACGTTGTAACTCGGAACCAATTTTCTCATAAGAAACAATGTTATAAAAGGGGGATGTGTTCCTGAACCAAGGCCTGATACCCTATTTTCACCAAAAATACCCCAGAATTTTGTACTCGATCAATTATAGATGAATAATATAGCTACATTTAATGTATTGGTATTCTAAATAGCAATCATATCTATTTGGAAG